GATATTTTTGCCCGTTTCCAGTTCTTTCTTGATTTTATAGAGGTTGACACTTCTAGTAATTTATATTTTTTATTTTTATTATTATTTTTTCAATTTGTTAACTAAGCTCACCTTTGCAATGAGACAGGCATTTTCGTGCTCCAGCTGAACTTCCTATTGACAAGACACATTTGAAAACAAGTAATGGCAATCATAAATTTAAAAAAAAAATAAAATTAAAATTAAAAAAATTAGATGATAAAAGATTTATTTTCTGCTAAATTACCAACAATAGTATATATGAAATTAAGTATTAGTTTAAGAAAATTACCCTCTTCTGCAAATGCTCAATTTCAGCAAGTATGAGTTCTTGCTGTCGATGTGAAACAGTAATTATCAAGAATTAGTACGAGCAAAGAAAATAAGCATTTAAGGTATGTGTGTATGAGTATTACACACTTCTCGGAGAAAATAGTTGATTTATATATTTTCGAATGATGATCGATTCTTCTATGTATTTCAGTTTTTTTCTTTTTCTTTTTTCTTTTTTTTTTTTTCCCTCGCACTATATATGACTAATTGTTTACCTTCTTGGATCTGATTCTGGTTATGCCTCGCTCAAGCCTGCTTTTCGGTTGCGTTAACTCCTTCACATTTAAAGATCCCAATCCATCACCCATTAGATGCCTGTGAGAAGTGTGAACTTTTACTTCTGTTAAACAGGATATCAATATAATTTAACATTTCTACTACTTGATCATATGATTGATTAAAGTATTTCATATTCTACCATTGAATTATATAACTTGATGCAACATCTGATCAATCGTGAAGAGTTATAGGAAAAGTTAAGACCTATATCATTACATAATAAATCGAAAAAATCCTTAATGTTCTTTGGAAATGATTTCTTTCTTTGGTTTCATTTTCTACAGGACTAATTGTAAAGCAACGTATGCATACACGACTCTTATGATGGTCTTATTTTCAGATGTTCGAAACATATGTTTTTAATTTGTTTCTTTTTATGATAATCTGTAGGTTGGCAGCTCAATACCCCCATAGAAATTCCTTTTAAGAGGTGCCGCTTTTCCTCAGTTAAATGATGGATTTACCTGTTGGAACTCTGGAGCATCTGTATTTGCTGGCACAACTTCTTCGACTCTTGTTAGTAGAACTGCATTCAAGCCATAAAACGAAAGATTAAGAAAAGCTTGGATATATTTTTCTCGTTGATATTTCAAGAAAAACAGAAATCCAGACCTCATTGAAATTCTTTGATGGTGCTTTCTTCCTTTTATATATCCACAAATTTTTAGTAAAAAGAATAAGAGAAACCAGGTAATAAGAGAACCAGGTACAAAAGTTGTATCCGAAATTAAAATTTGATTAATGCACTTATTCATTAATGACTCGTGCGTCCATCCTTAATTATATGCTTATTAGAAAGACAAGTGTATAAATTTGTGTGTGTCCTGTAACTTATTACAATCTCATTTTACCTGAGCATTAATCTCCTCAGTAGTGTGTGTTTGCAGTATTTGAAGCTGACTTCTTATATCTATTTATAGTTGTCCTAATGCTGCAGATAGAAAGACATTGAAATGCCCATTATGGGGTGGCCTAGTTGGTGGAGTAGATGAGTTCGGAGGCCTTTGGTCATGAGTTTGATTCTCCCTACCAATACTTTCTCGATCAAGCCTGTCGCATAGGGCTTTCCTAGTGCGATTTACCTGATTGGTGTGATTTGTAGGCTATTGTGTTTGTCCGAGAGTTTACTCAGTGCGCACCCGAAGAGTAGTGACTGCGAGTTCCCCCGTCATAAAAAAAAGATATTGAAATTATTAAACACATATAATTGAAAATGTTGTAGTGTGACCCAAATTCCAGTGGGTGTTGGAGTTGTATTTGAAGTGGTATTGGATAGATCAAAATTATGGATTGGAAAAATTATTAAAGCATTTTCGCTAGCTACACGCTTGAGCGAGACCTGTCACTTTTCAAATAGATAAGTTTTGGCCTCTTTTCGCCTCCCGTCGCTCGGTGATGCTTGAGCAACAGTGCTTCTCAACTTTTCGTGATTTGACGCATTTTGAACTCCTATTCATCTACAATTTGGTTTCTAGGGTTATATAACGGCATGTATTGTACACAAAACAAAACATACAACATCTTTAGAGCTTTAGATCTTAGTTGAGAGTATTGAGATCTTGTAAACACAATTACTATTGATTATAGTGGATTTCTTCTCCTATGTCCGTGATTTTTTGCCTTCTTGGGTTTTCACGTAAATCTATGTTCTTTATTTTGTTCTTGTTTATTTCACTATTGTTATAATCATCCAGTCAATTCACAACAAGTGGTATCAGAGTGAGGTTGATTATTTCGCATGTCAATGATGAAGTTTGATATTCCGTTATTTGCTAAAGCATGAAATGTTGTGATTTACATCTATTAATTCTTGTACTTTTATGATTAATTAACACTTAAATGTGCTAAGTACCCTTATATTGTGATTTAGGTTGCATTTGGATGATCATGGCATAAAATAGAAGAAAAGAGCGAAAAAAGACTTAAATGGATGAAATTGAAAGTTCAGGGACCAAGTTGCAAATAATCTCTAGATGAGACGAGCAATGGAATGAAGATTAAAGATGTTGCGGGATCAATTGGACGCAATTAGAGTTGAAGGGTTGAAACTGCAAGAAAAACGATTTAAAAGAATCAAAAATGAAATTCGGAACTAAAATACAACTTTTGGAAGAAATTTTGCTGGGCAACAGCCCAATTCTAAAATCTGGGCGAGCGCCCAGCACCAAAAATCAATTAACGAAGCCCAAAGCCATGTCTGAGCGACTACCCAAGTTTTACCTAGCGATTGCCCAGGTCAATCGCGGCGAGAAAAATCTGGTTTCCTTTTCTGATTGAAATTCTTATGGAAACAAATATTTTACATGATATATATATGTCCCAAATCGCGTCCAAAATCTAGAGAATGCCCCTAACCTTATTTTCCTCTCTTTGTGCTCAAGATCTATAATGTGCAACTAATTTCTTATGCTTGATCGAAGGAGATGGAAGCCTTGGAACAATTATAACTGTGAGATCCACCTGATTTTTATTGATTAATTCATATACTTAGTATTAATCTTCTTCTGCAATTATTTTTATGATTTTTTTGTTTGATTTGTAGAGTGCGCGCTAGGTTACTAATCTCAATAATCTATAGCTAAGTTAAATATCAAATCCGTAATTGTTTGATTAATTTAACTTGTGAAGCAATTATGATTAGTAATTTGCTACTTTGGGTAATTATTAAATCTTAGGAAAAATATTTATCTTGGGTAAATGCAAATGCTTGGCTTATGTTATCTAGTTCATTGATTTCTCTAATTCGTAAAGCCATTATTAAATTAAATTGTCGCGCTTGTTTGGGATTGTTTGATAATGAGGATTAATTAGATTGTTTGTTTCTAATTAATTAAAACTAAGGAGAAATAGGAAAATTATTTCGAATGGAAAATTTATTTTTCACAATGAATGCTAAAATTATGAATTGATAATTATTTGTGGATTAATGACCGGTTATTAATTTCCAACGGTGGATGTTGACTTAGATCAAGGTTTGTTTTATTGCTTATATTTAATTCGGTGAGTTGTGTTATTTCAAGAATTCAAAAACCCCCCATTTTATTTAATTTAGTATAAAAAGTAAATTAATCACTCTTCGTGGGATCAACCCTTACTTTTACAACACCAATTTTAAGAAATATAGATTTTAATTTGGAGCGCTTACGACAGCACGCACCAAATTTTGGCGCCGTTGTCAGGAGTGATTTAGTTTATTTTTGTGTTTTTTATTTGTTCACTTAGTTTTCAATTTTTTTTTTTTGGTTATTTTGTTTAGTTTAGTTTATTTCTTTTAATAGCTTCCTTAATTGTTTATGCCCATAACTGGATCCTCTAACCAAACTGATTTGCAGTACGATCCAGAATTAGAAAAAAAACTTTGCACAAGTTAAGGTGTGGCATTCAACGAAATTTCGAGGGACACATGGCTGGACATCAAACTTCGAAGGAGTTTGCAGCTCCAAATTTGAACCAACAACCTCTCTGCATCACTTTTCCTACTTTAGATGTTTCCACTAATTTTAAATTGAAGTCTGGACTAATACATCTTTTCCCCACCTTTCATAGTCTTGTAGTTGAAGATCCCCATAGACATTTGAAGGGATTCTACGTGATTTGTACAAGCATGAAACCTACGGTGGTAACTGAAGAGCAAATTAAACTGAGAGTGCTTCCATTCTCTCTAAAGGATTCAACTAAGGACTGGCTCTACTATCTACCATCTAGAAGTGTCACAACATGGGAGGAAATGAAGAGGATGTTCTTAGAAAAATATTTTCCAGCTTCAAGGGCAGCAAACATCCGAAAAGCAAGTGGAGGAGCTTTAGTGGATAAAGCTCCTAAGGACGCGAAGATTTTGGTTGCAAACATGGCAGCCAACTCTCAACAATTTGGCACAAGAGTCGACACTCCTACTAGACATGTTAATGAGGTAAAGTTTCATCTCTTGGACAACAACTTGCGAGTCTAACTTTTCTTGTTCGTCAAATGGCTGCATGTAATATGCAAATGGCAACGGCATGTGGAATTTGTTCGGTGGCAGGACATCCAACTGACATGTGTCCAACTCTTCAAGAAGATGAACAAGTTAATGCAGTAGGGAGCTTTCCTAGACAACCACAAAGGAATTATAATCCTTACTTGAACACCTACAATCCAGGGTGGATGGATCATCCTAATCTTAGCTATGGGAATCAGCAAGTGAATCAACCAAACTTCCAGCAATACAGGTAGCCATATCCTCCTAGACAACAACAGGACCAAACTTCAAGTTCTGGTATGTCTCTAGAGGATATTGTTAAGTCTTTGGCCACTAACACTTTACAATTTCAACAGGAAATAAAATAATTCAATAGGAGACAAGGGCTAGTATTAAAAGTTTGGAGAATCAGATGGGCATGTTGGAAGCACAACGTTCAGGAAAATTACCCTCTCAAACAATGCTCAATCCAAAGGAAAATGTAAGTGTAATCTTGTTGAGGAATGGTAAGGAGGTTGAAACTCCAAAGGAAACCTTTACATCATTGGAGCAGGAAAATGAGAAAAATGTCACTGAAGAAAGAGTGTTCCCAATGATGATGGCGTACCTAAGCGTAAGTTTTAACCCCTTTCTAAGTATAAACCAGTGCCCCCTTTCCCTCAGGCTTTAGTAGAACCTAAGAAAGATGAACATAATCATGAACTTTATGAAACTTTCCGTAAATGTGAGGTAAACATTCCATTGTTGGATGCTGTTAAACAAGTATCTCGTTATGTTAAGTTTTTGAAGGAATTGTGTACCCTTAAAAGAAAAATAGAAACTTAAAAGGTGTGAAAAGATAAACGTAGGGGAACATGTTTCTGCAATCATTCAAGAAAATCTCCCTACAAAGTGTAAAGATCCAGGCATGTTTAACATCCATTGCACGATAGGTAATACTAGGTTTGAAAAGGCCATGTTAGACTCAAGAGCTTCTATTAATGTCATGCCATACTCCGTATACGCTTCTTTAAAACTTGGACCTTTGAATGAAACTGGTGTCATAATTCAACTAGCTGATAAATCTAATGCCTATCCTAAGCACGTAGTTGAGGATGTTCTTGTGAAAATTAATGACTTGATTTTCCTCGCTGACTTCTATGTGCTTGATATGGGATATAGTGATCAAACTATCCCCATTTTGCTAGGAAGACCATTCTTAAGGACATCCAAAGCTAAAATAAATTTTTATAGTGGCATGCTTACTATGGAATTTGATGATAAAATTAGTGAATTTAATGTTTATGACGCCATGAAACATCCTGATGAAACTAACCCTATTTATTCTATTCAAGTGATTGATAATTTAGAACAAGAATTTTTAGAACTTGATGAAAACAATGTAGTGAAAGTTACCATTGATAATCATATTGAGGATGTGAATTAGGAGTTACCCTTGAATACTACCTTGCAGGAAACCATTGCAGCATTGAATGCTTCTCCAAAGTCACCAAAGTTAGGTAAAAGTTCGCATATTGTTTGACCAATTGCTAACGAGAGGCCTTTCTATATAGGTTTCCAAATGGATGAGATGAGAACATGGGACCTTGGAAACCTAATTAATGCCGGTTGAGGAAGGAAGCAATAAGTCTAGCCAAAGACAATAAAAAAGGCGCTGTTTGGGAGGCAACCCAAGGGGAGTTCGTTCATTTACTTTTTATTTTTCTTTTCATTTTCGTATTTGCATTCATAGTTTAGGTCAAATTTGTTCTCTTCTTGACATTTTACTTTACATTGGAACAATGTAAATTTTTAAGTATGACGGAGGGAATTTAGGTCGTTTAAAATTTTTTAATATAGGTCATGCTTCCGTTACTTCTCACAATACAAGAAAAATGATTTTGGACAAGACAAGAAAAAGTTTTCAAGAAAAATTGAGGAAAAAGTTGTGATTTTAAATGATTTTTGGTTGTATGTGTTATCTGCTAGATTCAATTAGGCTTTGATGGATTCATAACATGATTGAATAAGTGATCTTTCAACTTAGAGTTAATTAGTTGAGTTATTTTCCTTGAGGATGGTAACTAAATTTGTAGACAAAAAGTCAGTGAGATTTTGAGCCTTTAGACTGATACATAAATATCGGTCTCACTATTTTCTTTCATGAGTGATTTTCTTCTATGGATTTTTTTATCTAGAACTTGCCTTGATTCTCTTTGAGGTCATATTGATACATGCATGCATGAACATGATTAATGCCATCTTTATTGCATAAGTTAGCCACCTTAGCCAAATAGCCTACCCTGTAATTAATTTTTCCTTTTTTGAACCCCTTTGAGCCTTGCAGACTTTTCTTTTGTAAACCCATACTACAAGCTTAAAAAAAAAAAAAAAAAAAAAAAAAAAAGACAATGTCTTTACCTAAGCCGTGGAGCTTGTGGAGTATTGTTTGTTATTTTGATACATATGGAAGTGTGAAAGAAATAAGTGTGGGGGTGTCTAAAATTTTGGTAGGATTATGATGGTGGAATGGAACATATTATTCAATTTCAATTCATAAGTTCCATTATTAGTGCAATGTTTTGAGAAAAAAACTGAAAAAATGATGAAAAAGACGAAAAAAGGAAAAGAAGTGAAGGAGAAAATGATTTTCAACGTTCTATAATTACTCTATGTTCATGTTTCCTCCTAAAATCACAAGAAAATAATTGGGTTGTGTGAAATAGATGCAAAGAAGCTGTGAGTAGAGAGATTTGATCTTACATGTTTTATGTATACATTTGAGCTGAGTTAATTCATCTTTACTCCACTAGTTTCTATGGCTTTTGAGTTACTTACCCAAATATCTCATACCTGGACCTTAGCCCACGTTACAACCTGTGAAAATGACCTTATGATTTGTTTAATGCATGTGATCTAATTGGTGGAGAATGAGAAGATATGCAAACATATGGTAGGACACTTCCATTGGAATGAATTTGAGCGAAACACTTATCCTGCAAACATATGAAAGTTGAGCACTTACTTCCATGAGGGTCTACTCATTTGGTTCATCCATCTTCATTCGAGAATGCTTGTTAATTAATTATAAGTTGTGTGAGAATGTTTCTCCATGAATTGTTATATGTTTTGAAGAGTTTGATTGTTCTATGTATGTGGCATTGCAACCCTATGAAAGTGAGTTTGAGTTTTACTCGAGGACGAGCAAAAACTAAGTATGGGGGAATTTGATAAGACATGAAATGTCGTGATTTAAATCCATTAATTCTTGTACTTTATGATTTATTAACACCTAAATGTGCTAAGTACCCTTATATTGTGATTTAGGTTGCATTTGGATGATCATGGTATAAGATAGAAGAAAAGAGCAAAAAAGGACTTAAATGGAAGAAATTGAAAGTTCAGAGACCAAGTTATAAATAATCTCTAGATGAGACGAGCAATGGAATGAAGATTAAAGATGTTGAGGGATCAATTGGATGCAATTAGAGTTGAAGGGTTGAAATTGCAAGAAAAACGATTTAAAAGAATAAAAAAATGGAATTTGGGGCTAAAATACAACTTTTGGAAGAAATTTTGCCTGGGCGACTGCCCAGTTATAAAATCTGGCCACCGCCCAACACCAAAAATCAATTACCGAAGCCAAAAGCCATGTCTGAGCGACTGCCCAAGTTTTGCTTGGGCGACAGCCTAGGTCAATCGCGGCGAAAAAAAATCTGATTTCCTTTTCTGATTGCAATTCTTATGGAAACACACACACACACGCGCTATATATGTGTGTGTGTGTGTGTGTGTGTGTGTGTGTGTCCCAAATCTCGTCTAAAACCTAGAGAATGCCACCAACCTTATTTTTCTCTCTTTATGCTCAAGATCTATGATGAGTGATTTACACTCATTATATTATGCCATTAATTTCATGATTTTGCTATCTTGGAGAGTATTTTAGAAGTGCTAACAAGTGATTTTGGTGTTGTTTTGTAGATTGATGGAAGTGGAGAAAACAAGAGCTAAAAGAGGTCAAAGGAAGGAAATAGGCAAAAGCAAGCGAAATTGGATGAAATGACCAAAACGTAAGAGTTCCAAAGTTCGAAGATTAAAATGCAATTAATCAAAAGTCATGTCGAAACTTGAAATGAAGATCCGAGAGTTATAGAAGCCAATTGGATGAAGGAAGTTGTCAAAGGGATCAAATTTAGTCAAGATATGATCATAAATCATTTTCCAACCAAAAAGTTTTGCGCCGGAGTTTTGGTCTCACATTTAGACTCATTTTGACATAGAAAACGATTGAATTGGAGAATGATTCCTGAAGTAAAATTGTATTCCTTTGAATTATATTTCCAACTCATCTTGAATCACTTCAATCGGATATCGAACGAAAAAGTTATGACAAAAATACTAAAGGCTGTCTAGTGCAACCGAAGCAGTCCTCAGCGCCCAGGCGCCATGGTGCTGAAATTTTGACAGAAAGTCAGCGCCTAGGCGCCCAAATAGCAGCGCCCAGGAGCCTCCGTGCGAGAGTAATTTTTTTAGGTTTTTACTATTCTTTTTCGGCCCAACTCATCTCCAAATCTTTCCCTAAACTCCAAGACATTATAAACACAGAATTGAAGACCTAAATTAGGGGGAAGCCGCACACTAAAAATCGGTGGAATCAAGCCACGGGTTCTTGACATATTGGAGAGAAAACAACAAGAAGGGAGATTCAAAGGAGAAATTCAAGAAGATTAACACTAAGAATTGAAGATTGGAAGCATTCATTGGAAGAGGAAGGAAATCTTGGTGCAAGAATTCCACTTTTTCTTCTACATCTTTATTACAAATCCAGTGATGTATTCTAAGACAATTCCTATTTTTCTTCCATTATTATGAGTAGTTAAATTTGATTTTAGGGCGAACAATGTAATCTTTTGGAATCCTTTATTTCATGCAATTGAGATTCTAGTGCTTTTATATTTTATGTGTTGATTTTAATGTTGTTCTTAATACATTTAATTACTTGATCACTAATTAGATGATTTGTGAACAATGATTGCATAGAGATGCGGATTATTTGTTTAGGCCACATGTTAAAATCCGGTAAGTTGATATAACGTGTAGAGATACCTATATTGATTGCTGCGGTCGTGTGTGAATTCTTAGAATTAGTGTTTCGTTTAATTAAATTTAATTTGCATAGAGATATGGAATTAAACTAATTAAATAGGCTCAATGAGAACTCGAGAGAGGTAAGTTGAATACAATAGAAGAATTCGACCGAACACTACCTTAGGTTTTATGAATCTTGATTTATGAAGTAAAGGTGACCAATAGGTGAAATTGTTCCGCCCTAACGTCCATTTATTGTTTGAATTCTCAATCACTTTTTGTTGCATCCAATCGCATTTTTAAGTCTTTAGAATAAAAATCACATTTAATCATTGTTTTTGTTTATTTTCGTCAAATAGAAGTTAGAAATAATAAATTGGGCATTAAAAGTACAATCCTCGTGGGAACGATAATCCGGACTCAAAAGGTCCACTTTACTACTTGTTACGATCCGTTCACTTGCGAGATAAAATCGACAACAATCTATGATGTGCAACTAATTTCTTTTGCTTGATCGAAGGAGACGAAAGCCTTGGAACAATTATAACTGTGAGATCCACCTGATTTTTATTGATTAATTCATATACTTAGTATTAAATCCTCTTTTGCAATTATTTTTATGATTGTTGTGTTTGATTTTTAGAGTGCACGCTCGGTTATTAGTCTCAATAATTTATATCAAATTTGTAATTGTTTGATTAATTTAACTTGTGAAGCAACTAGGATTAGTAATTTGCTGCTTTGGGAAATTATTAAATCTTAGGAAGAATATTTATCTTGGTTAAATGCAAATGATTGGCTTGTGTTATTTAGTTCATTGATTTCTCTAATTCACAAAGCCATTATTAAATTAAATTGTCGTGCTTGTCTAGGATTGTTTGATAATGAGGATTAATTAGATCGTTTGTTTCTAATTAATTAAAACTAAGAAGAAATAGGAAAATTATTTTGAATGGGAAATTTATTTTTCACAATGAATGCTAAAATTATGAATTGATAATTATTTGTGGATCAATGACCGGTTATTAATTTCCAGCAATGGATGTTGACTTAGATCAAGGTTTGTTTTATTGCTTATATTTAATTCGGTGAGTTGTGTTCTTTTAGGAATTCAAAAACCCCCCATTTTATTTAATTTAGTATAAAAGGTAAATTAACCACTCTTCATGGGATCAACCCTTACTTCTACTACTACATTAATTTTAAGAAGTATAGGTTTTAATTTGGAGTGCATATGACAGCACGCACCATTATTGGATCGAAACACAAGATTTACTTTATATCAAGTAGAGATTCGAGCAGTTCTCTCACAGATGGATTTGGAGAAAGCCTATCTTGGCTTTGATAAGATGCCTTCAA